AAACTGCCTCTTACCTGCTGGTAACAAGGGAGAACAGAACACCCAAGAGCCCAACAGGCGGCCGAAAAACCGAAAGGTAAAACGGACCAGCAGAGGCAGACCCCGAGGAGCCTGTGGAAGGTGGCCCCAAGCCCCAAGGGCAGTACTTACAGGGCACCTAGGGAAGGCAGCCCTAGGCGCATGCAGCCCGAGTACTGAAGATAACTCCTGGCTCTCGCACCCACAAAACTAACACCACACTCAAAGCACAGTGCAGTAGCGACACCGGAGCCAGAGCACACGACCATCGCCTATAGCATCAGCCTCAAGAACTGAGGTGTGGGTAGCCGGCGCGGGGGGTCTGGGGCTCCCCCTTCCCCCTCCCGGGGAGGGGGGAGCTGCGCAGACAGCGGCGCGGCAGTGTGTGACGTCACACTAGTTTGCTTGTTTTCGGTTGGGGAGTTCTATCCACTAGTTCGGTATTAGGTAGCAATTTTAACCAGAATAGGGGTTTGTTTTGGGGCGCTTACCTTTCTGGGTGCCTGTTCCGGTCGATGGCAGACATAGAATGCTTCCAACTACACGGGGGCTTCTATAGGCCATTGCTCCCCTTGCCTCTCTGAGGGGGCCCGGTTCTGGCCGTGGTCCCCGGTAGGCCTAAGAACTCCATACACATGACTGATGCCAAAGTCTGACATTAGCATATCAGCCTGGGATAGCTCCGGGGAGCCGACGGGGCTCCCTCCAGAAATACAATTCGGTCAACAAACAGCATTGTTTAAAAATAACAGACATGGGTTGACATTAAAGGGGTAAGGTAGGTTACAGGGAGTTAATTAGGTAGTGCTTAGTTTTTATCTTAAACTGGTTGAGAGAGGTACAGTCTTTAACATGATTGGGAAGGTCATTCCACATTCTGGGTCCCTTGATTTGTAGAAATTTCTAGTTTGATTAAGTCGAACTCTTGGAATATCATAAAGGTATTTGTTTCTGGTGTGGTGGACATGGGTTCTGTTACAACCTTCAATGAAGCTTTTAAGGTCAGGATTGGCATTACAGTTCAGCATTAAATATATATATATATATATATAGTACACATGAGAGGATGTGCAGTGACTTAATATCTAACATATTCAGAGATTTGAGTAGGGGTACTGAGTGATGTCTGGGGCCAGAGTTGGATATTGTCCTAATAGCAGCTTTGTGTTGAGTAATTAGAGGACGTAAATGATTTTGGGTAGTAGAACCCCAAACACAAATACCATAGTTGAGATAAGGATAGATGAGGGAGATAAATAAATAACTAAATAAATAAATAAATAAGCAGAATGGGAAGTGTAAACTTAAAACAGGAAAGTGGTCATGTGGAAGGTTGGACAGGAAATGAAGCTGTTCAATCCCAAAAGATTGAGGATGTACCATAGGTTCACTGTATCTTGCTTAGGGACTGGGAACAACTAGGACACCCACTGAAGGGTGTCACTTGACCATGCCCAAGTCTAAATAACCTACAATGACCCAACACAATGCTGGGAAGGACTCCTGACCTGTAAGACCTGATGACAAGAACAGGGACGGGACTGACCAACTCCACCGCAGGCTGAGAAAAATTACCCAAAAAGCCCCAATTCATGGGACAAGGACCTGGCAAAACAACCCAGACACCCTCCCACAATGGCATCAAAGAGACAAACCCAGAAAGGATTTGTATGAACCGCAAGAAGAACCACTCTTTAGCAATGCATAGCTGTGATGTCAGACATTAGAAGATCTCGCAGAAGGAAGTGCAACCGTTCGGAAATCAGACTCACCCCCAAGACCTACCTTGACTAACAGTAGGCAAGGTCCCCACCCGACCAGACCACCTCCAAGTGCAGGCAGAACCCTGAGATTGATGTTTGATGAGGCAGCAAGAGAATGGCTCCACTGACAAACCTACGCAACGACATCCTCTGGAAAGAGAAGTGAAAAGGCGGGCCATGAACAAAAAAAGAGTTAAGACCAAGCCTATTTTAACAAACAGGGCAAGATGGTCTGTTGACATGTGAGGTGGGCCAAGAAGAATGCCACCACTGCATTCAAAAGAAGAGGACCATACATCTTCAGCAAGGCCACCAGGGATGGAGTTGCAAGCCTTAAGAATTCCAAACCCAGAGCAGAACCAAAAAATGCCACATCCACACAGAGCCCATCTATGAGGACTCAAACATGTAAGACAGCTGCTAAGTGGGAACATGCCCCTATCATCCTATGTAATAAAGGCCCTCCCTGAACAGCACAGGCAGTTGCACATGGAGCTGCCACCTGAATAAGTCCTTGGAGAACACCTGAGCAAATAGGCAGTTCTCAAGCAGGGCAAAAGAAACGCCACCCAAAAACACCTGAAAGACGGAACTCACCTATCGAACAAGTGTGGGCCTGATAGAACCCCATGCCAAGCCCCAAGGAAAAAGAGAAGCTTGTCAGCCAGATAGAATGAACTCAAAACCTCACATCACACCCATTAAGCTGAGACAGACCCATACTCAATAAAAGAACCAAGGTCACTCAAAGAAAAGAGGACCAAGGTCTGCAGAAGGTACCAAAACAAACCAATGCAAACCTCCAAAAGCACTATGCAGGAAGATGGAAATCTCTGGAAATAGAACGACTCCAAGACACCGAATGGGACCTAGAATCGAACCCAAGGGAGAGCAGCCGAGCAATCATACTCGTGCATAAAGAATATGAAAAATTATCCCCCTGAAGCAAAAGACCCTCCACAGAGGTGACCAAGATCCACAAAGGGTTGAAGGGTTCCATGGGTTCTCTTCAGGCTTCCTCTCAGCTCTGGAAGCCTGCCATAAAGACTCTAGGGCAGAGCCATAGTCCTTGCCTAACACCTGGGACAATGGCATCCTCCCAAACAGAAGGTTCAGAGCAGGAGTGGTGGGGAAAAATTACGAAGTTAAATGCCTCAAGACACCAGCGGGACCAGAAGACTCAGCTGCCTACATCATCAAAGTGTATGGGACCAAAACATTGTCGTTTCTCCATTTTGTTTTGTGTAGTTTGGCCATCAGTACAAGTTCAATACGTTCCACTCTAGAGTGTGCAATGTACATCACCCACTGGGGACAACTCTGTGCAAACTTTTATCAGGGAGGGAAGCTTATAAAGCTAATGTGAAGCTTTAGGCACATGCTTAAATTGATAATAGGGGTCACAATTTCCAAATTTACAGATTTCCAACATGATCCCCTTTATTTTGAGGAGGAACTGGCTCCTCTGAAGGTCTCTACTACGAAAGAAGGGGGCTTTCCTCAAGTATTCATTTCTGTGCTTCAACCAGAGCATTTTGCTTCCTTTCATTTCCCTTTGGTTGTGGATTTCAGAGGATATGGGCTTTATACACAGGTGCAGGCTGGAGACGGAATGACAGCAGAAAGTTATGTCAATTCTTTTGTTTGGGGGGGGGGGGCTCACTTTTTGCAAGAGTGAGCCACTCCAGGGGACTTCAGCTACTCCTGTCTATTGATGAGGTTAATGTGCCCCCTCCCCAAGTGGTATGTGATCAATATTTCTTCTTTTTACAAGCTGAGCCTGAAGTGCAAAAGTTTCAGACATCTTGCCTAAGGCTAGGTTGGATCCGAAACATTCTTCTTTCCGAGTAACAAGGATTACGCATCGCAACTACCAGCCAGGGATTTTCAGAACCTGATATTGCAGGCAAGAGCCAGGAGGTTGAGGACTCTTAATTGTTTCATAGGCCAGCTCATTGTTCTTAAGCAGAAATATCTTTAAATCTTGATACAGGCCAAGGATTATCCAACCCAAGAATTATTCTCTGGCAGGTAAGAGAAATTCCACTACCATACCAGCAAAGATGTGACTTCCAGTCTGGTCACTTCCAAAGAAACCCCAAATGTGAATAGAAATAGGGAACAGAAGGGTTCAACATTCGGAATTACCTTAGCCAAGAACTTCGGTGTCTTGCCTGCATTCAGCTGGTCTGGCTCATCTCTTGCTCACTCTCATGGCGATATCAAATGTTTTGCCAACCTGCAGCTGACCGAGAGCAGGAGCTCTATAAGACCAGTGGTTATACATCAGAGTACATATGCTTATGACCAAACTTCTGCCAAAAAACATTAGTTGAAAATAGGTGGCATCGGGCATGTGAATAAGGTTGCTGGTTGGCTGGACCCCTAGATGACCCGAGCTACTGTACCACATCTTGAGGTTATCTTGAGATGATTTCGGGGCTTTTTAGTGTCCCCGCGGCCCGGTCTTCAACCGGGCCTCCACCCCCAGGAAGCAGCCCGTGACAGCTGACTAACACCCAGGTACCTATTTTACTGCTAGGTAACAGGGGCATAGGGTGAAAGAAACTCTGCCCATTGTTTCTCGCCGGCGCCTGGGATCGAACCCAGGACCACAGGATCACAAGTCCAGCATGCTGTCCGCTCGGCACGCTGGACTTTAAAATCCTTAGCCTTCATCATTTAAACAATTTCAGCAGAGTGTTATACAATTTATCCCAGAGCCCTGTTAGCTACAAAACCCCACACACACAAAAAAAAGGAATACAGGTTAAATAATACAGTGTATTAAAAGGCTCCCTGCAGACACACATTTAAGATGTTAAATAAATTGCAAAACTGGCACAAAGTTGTTCTACCCACAAAGAATAAAAACTAATGAAATAGATTTTCACTGGAGATGAAGAAGAGGGAACAATGCATTTCACAATGTACCTGGGAGAGAACACATCAAGAATAATAAGGGTTACCCTTCATAAAGCATTGGCTTCCTATCTCTCCCACTTACAGTAGAAAACATCAAAATTTTAAGCAACATTATGTATTTTCTTCCATATGCCTCTACAACCTTAAATGTTGAATCATAACATACAGATGCAGACAATGAGTCACAGTAACATGACTGAAGATATGATGGCCATACCACACATCAAAAAATAACATTGTCGTTTCTCCATTTTCTGATGTGTGGTTTGGTCATCATAGCATACAGAGTCTTACCAGATGAATATTCAAGAGCAGCTACAAATGCTCCTGGTCCAAGAGCCAATCCATCGCTGCGTTTGTAATACCGAGCTCTGTGAATAGCAATAAGTGGAGCCCCTTCAAGCAGAATTCTGAAATTGATGAGCTCTTAAGAAACCTTTACTGTGCACAAATTTAAATTTTATCAGAAAACTTACATAGGTAAATCTAGATAGATTTGATTGTACAGTATTTACAAGTATTTATAAATTAAAGAAACTTAAGATACTCGGTACTGTGATTGTGAATTAACAAATAAAGAAAATTAAGAATTATGAAATATTCTTTCAATACAGAACACACAGCAATAAAATATAGTGACAATAACAATAATACTGTACTATATTATAAGATAAAACTTATAAAAATACAACTTTTATGTGTAGTACATACTTTATATTAAATGCTTTACGGTAATAATTGCTCACAAGCTTTGTCTGAAGTCAACTGATAGAGAAATTAACAAAATAATATTTCTACTAAAATTAAATAAATAGGGATACTGTACATTGTGCAGGTTATCTCGCAAGCCATATATAATGTAGCAAATCCTCTCAGGAACTACCAACACACACCACCCAATGCAAAGTTATCCAGTACCACCTTATCACTACATACAAATTATCCAGAAGAATATACAAGATGGACAAGAACAAGCATCTTTGATTTCAGAGAAAATAGGACAAGAGAACATCAGATAAAGCAGGAGATTCAAATTAGTCAAAGAAATGTAAGGAAGTACTCGTTCTTTTTATGGATGGTCAACACAGTGCAAAATGTGAAGGTCTTGAATGCCAGCTCCATCGATAATTTCAAAGAGCCAATATGACAGAGAATTTAAATGTCAGAAGACTTAATAAAAGCACCAGATATAAAAAGCTAAAAGGCAGGGTAGAGAGTGCAAAACCTCACTCCCTATAGACACTGGAAGGCAAATGCAGCTACAACACTTCCCTCCCACGAACTTTCAACTACTATTTGTAAATTTTAACTTTTGAAATCATCCTCAAAGTAAGCTAGTACTGAATTGTATATACATTCACCTGAAGGCTGTTGTCATGTGTTCGTAATCAAACTGATCAGGGGCTAAGCCTACAAGTACAGCATTTTGATTCTCAGGGCTGATGTCATGAAATTCCTCCTTAGCTGCATCAGCAATCAGCATGTATGGTCGTAAACGTCTTTTGTCTATTAACTGCTTGGCAGCTGTTAGAGATGTGAAGATTTCATCTCTATCAATACTGAAACCGATGCGGGTGAGACGTTCATGAAGGATACGTTTTGATTCCTTTGTGGTGTTTGTAACAAACTTAATCTTGACATTTGTTGCCCTTAATCTGAAAAATTGAATTTGCATAAAAAATTATTAAGTTTAGGTTAATTTTCATTATGAACATTACACATTACATATATGTGTGTAACATGATATAACTACAAATAACTGTACAATAACATAGGCTATAGTACAGGGAATTTTTTTTTATTTTATTTTTTTACAAATTATTCAGAACACAGAATGTTCTTTTGGAGAGAAGTAAGAAGTGCAGCAGGGAGACAGGTGGATGGGTAAATGAGAAAATTAAAAGACAAACTTGGGAGAATGTTAATAGATGAAGATTAGAAGCAACTGGAGAGAATACTTTGAAACTGAAAAAGGTCCTATTGTGAAGAAGATTGGATTATTAGTGTGATAAAAGAGTATATGACAGCAATCAGAATCTGTTGTTATTCAGAGGCACTGTTACTTCTGTACAATGCTGAAGAAGCTGAAATGTGGGAAAGTTGCAGTTGTTGAGGTATGTACAGAAATTATGAAACTGTTATGGAGAAAAAGGTATGGAATGGATGTGGCACCGTGTCAGAAGGCACAGAATGGTGGCCCCTTGCCAAAAGGCAAAGAATGGTGGCACTGTGCCAATAGTGATGCTTTGCCATAAGGCACGAAATGGTGGTACTGTGCCAGAAAAGACAATGGTAGCACCGTGCCAGAAGGAATGGAACGGTGGCACCATTCCAGAGAATTAGAAAATGAGCTAAATTTTTACTACCGTATAAAAATTAGGGGAAATAATCAGAGGTGTAGTGCAGTGGTCTACATCCACTTACAACCAAGGGTCCTCGAAAAGATATTTAGGCAAGTCTTCTTTCCCCTTATGCTTCTATTCCCTTAGTAGTAAATAGGTAACTTGAAGTTAGACAACTGTTGAGGGGTTGTATTCTGAAGAAGGTTTGTAGTTCTCCAAGGGTAACCTCAGTAAGCTTACACAGGCGTCCTGTCCTACAACAATGGGAAACCAAGAGTTTGGCTGGATAGTGGTAGGAAAAATACAAGAAGTTACTGAAAAATTGATTATTGATGAAGAGTTTTTTTGTCATTTTTAACCTGCCCTCAGGAAGGAAATTCCCTAAAGGAAATGGACTAAGAATGACTACATAATTAGTGCTATTATCTACTCTCTACCCATGGTTAGATTAGGTTAAGGTTACTTTAGGTTAAGGTTAGGTTAGGTTTTGTTACATTAATATGATGTATTATTGATGGTAATGTGAAATATGGAATGAAAAAAATATTTGAATATGCCCATGACTTCCGTTTACTGAAAACCAAATAAAATGTTTTCAGCATACACTTTTTTTTATTTTAAACCAACAAATTATATTGCAACAAAGTTATAACTTGAGAACAATCTCTGTTTACAAAAAAGGTTCATTTGCCATTTTAAATGTGGACTATTACTGGAACCAAAATATGCTTTTTGACCATCACTAATATCTGTTGTGATTTAATTAAAAAAAAAATTTATCCAGGTGGTTTGAGGGTGGGCGAGGCCTCTCATGGAAATGGATTTGGTCCGAGGTTGGGCTCGTAATCTTATATGGCTTCGAAGAGGCAATTTTATGGACCTCTTTAAGGCATTGCACTACAGTATTTGCAAATACGTTTATGGGGCACAATACATTAGATACAAAATTGACCCAAAAATATTTTTATAACCTCTATATTCATACAGCAGAAGATATGTCATCCCAATTTATACTATAGCCAGTGAGTGCAGCACCTTGTGGTCCTGTATCCAGAATATCCACTACCATTAGGATAGGTAAGGGTTTATTATGTAGAAGACTTAAGATGATCCTTAAAAAAAATTCTGTGCATTTTCCAGACCTGTCTGCTTTCCAATATGACTTAAAAACCTTTGCATTGTCAGGTGAAAGTATAGTTTGACTAACAGGTAGGCTAGCTATTATTCTTTTATGTTCAATGACAAACTCCTTTTCTACAATTAGCATGTTAATAATTGGCCATGACCAAGATTGACAATTTTTTTGGCATTGTTTCGGAGTCTTGCCTGCAGACTTGCCGAATGCCAAATAACCAGTGGTAGCCAAGAAGTCCCTCAGAGGACTTCATATCCAAATCCTTTTATATCTAAATCATAATATAATGGATTTGGTCTGACAGCACAGTAAAAAATAAAATTGACAAATGAGAGCTTCCTGCTAAGTTGGCAGTATGTCATCATTTGTCACTAGCCAGATAAGCATACTTAAAAACATTATAATTGTATTATTTGCCTTGTGTTGTTTCCTTGTGTGTGTAATCACAAACTAATGGCATCTTATTTGTATTGTTTCTCTATCACCTTCTCATGAATTAATCCTGTGTAACTTTGCTGACACTACTATCGGCATTACCGTAATAAATTATAACAAGGTTTAATAATACCACTGAACACAGTCCGTGTAATAATGCTCACCACAGAAATATACATGAAACAAGATCAGTGGCAAAATTATTTAACCTATTTGTTGAATGCATAGTGGTAATAGATTGTTACAGGTAATAGACCACAATAAACAATTGTTACAGTGTAATAGACAATAATGAATTATTATAACCAAACCACACACCACAGGATGAAGAGACGACGACGTTTCGGTTCATCCTTGACCGTTATCAAGTCGATTGTCCAGGATGGACCAAAACATCGTCACCTCATCTTCTGATGTGTGATTTGGTCATCATATTTTCAGCCACGTTATTGTAACTCATCATCTGCATAATGAATTAATGTCCCCACTACCTTTTAAGGGCATCTATTGACCCGGGTATAACTGCGTCCTCCACATGCAGCGTGCCGCTCAGATCAATTAAAACAGCACCGACTCTCCTTGCCATTACTGACAACAGGTTGTGAATAATGAACAGTGCTCCGTCAGGAATAAAGGAAGTAATTATCAAAAGATGGTACCAAGCCGGGAAGACTATGCAGCTCTATCCGCCAGTAGAGGTGGGGAGGGGTGGGAATCTCCTCAGCCAGACTGGCGCCTCAATTTTCTTCAACTTTCAAGTCAACTCTCCATAAAAATCAATTCAACTCTCCATAACAGTCAGCTCAACTCTCTACAACACGCTACAAGGTTGTTTATGTCTATCAGCTGATTGTCTCGACACAGACACTTTTGTTTACATCGATCAGCTGACGATATAAATAGCTTTATATGTATGTCCGCTTTATGAACTCTCAACAGTTTTCGCCATCAAAACGATAACATTGAATCAATTTAACCATCCTCCATTTGCTGAGAGCGGCAAGAATTAGTTTTATGTGAAGACAATTTAATTCAGTAAGACTTATATCGAGGCCCCCTCCCTAATGCTCGAACAAACAATAGTTACCTAACTCCTCAGCTGGGTATCTATTTACTACTAAGTGAACAGAGGCATAAGGTGACAGGAAACGCGCCCAATCATGAATGTCCAGTGGGTTCTGTTTTTTTTTTAACTAAGACATATGTATTCGTGCTCTGTTGAGAGACAAGAGAACTAGAATTAATAATAATAATAATAATAATAATAATAATAATAATAATAATAATAATAATAATAATAATAATAATAATAATTTATTTAGGAAAAGTACATACATAGATGCAGAGTTACAGTACAAACATTCTGTTTGATTTATAGATAGAGGTAGTACATACAATACCTAAAGCCACTACTCAAACACAAACCGAAACTGTTTCTATTTTCCACTTGTTACAACTTGTAATTAAGTTGTTATATCTTGGCTTAACGTGTTTATGACGTATTAGAACGTTGTTACAACTTACCATATTGGTTGTTATAACTGGTTAGGTGGTGTTAAAACTTGTTCGAACGTTGTACCAACGTCGTAATTTCAGTGTGTTTGGCGGGATAGTACGCATAGCGTTTCGGGCAAGGTGAGGTGGGGGAAAAAACACTTAGACTAAAACTTAATAGTAATTGAGCTTAAAGTATAAATTGCGTTGAGAGAAAAAAAATAAAAGATAACAAAAGGGGGGAACATGGTAGAAAATAGCCAATATACAAGTTGGTCAACAAACAGCATTATTTAAAAAATAGTAAGACGGGTTGACATTTAGAAGTAAGGTAGGTTACATGGAGTTAATTAGGTAGTATTTAGTTTTCATCTTAAACTGGTTGAGAGGTACAACCTTTGACATGATTGGGAAGGTCAAATTCCACATTCTGTTTAAGTCCCAAAACTCATCTCTCTCTCTCTCTCTCTCTCTCTCTCTCTCTCTCTCTCTCTCTCTCTCTCTCTCTCTCTCTCTCTCTCTCTCTCTCTCTCTCTCTCTCTCTCTCTCTCTCTCTCTCTCTCTCTCTCTCTCTCTCTCTCTCTCTCTCTCTCTCTCTCTCTCTCTCTCTCTCTCTCTCTCTCTCTCTCTCTCTCTCTCTCTCTCTCTCTCTCTCTCTCTCTCTCTCTCGCTCTCTCTCTCTCTCTCTCTCTCTCTCTCTCTCTCTCTCTCTCTCTCTCTCTCTCTCTCTCTCTCTCTCTCTCTCTCTCTCTCTCTCTCTCTCTCTCTCTCTCTCTCTCTCTCTCTCTCTCTCTCTCTCTCTCTCTCTCTCTCTCTCCTGTGCAGTTACAAACCCATTAAGATTTCAACTTAGAATCAACAGAGCAGAAAAAGTTGTTAAACATATGGGACAAAATCTAACTGAAGCGACCATACGAGTCATAAATACTCATACTCCGCCCAAGTAAAACAGAAACAAGCAACACTTAGTGGGCCAGCCAGAGGTTTAGGGCCCACGCAGGAATATCCCTGCAAAAAATGAAAAAAAACTCTGTCAATATATATTGTACTTATTTGTTTATATAAAACCTTGCTACAATGTACCTTTTTCATCTTACCTGATATATGTTAGATGAAGGACCTAGCCGAAATGCTATTTGTGTTAGTGGCTTTGCAAAAATACATAAAATACCAATCTTATGAAATCTCACCAACCCATTGAATCTTCTTGTGAATATATTATAATTATTATTATTATTATTATTATTATTATTATTATTATTATTATAGAAGTGGCCCACAACAGTCTCTATACAAGGCAGTTTATATCTGCGGTAAGTCAGTCACACAATTACTAGTCTTGCTCCACACCCACCCAACTGGACGGCAGCTATACAGTCATGTGCAGGTTGCACCCACAGTAAGCAAATTTTAGTTAGTTGTTTTAAGATGTCTGGCAGTACATCACTTATGTGCTACCTTGGCCTGTAGCACATGCTGTTTTGCCCGAAACACTGCATATTAGTGGCTTTAGACATAGTATATACTAGCTCTTCTCAACTTGTAAAGTAAATGGACACTGAACGAAAGCATTAGTGCACATCTCTGAAGAAAAAAATTGAGGTTGTAAAGTTTTGAACAAAATGAGGCCTTTTGTTTCGTGATTAGTGACGAATATGTTGACTCTCCTGATATGATATGATATGGAATTGACTAATTGTGGTTGACTGCAGTTGTTGTCGACACGGCGAGGAGTGAGGACCTGGGTGTCGCTGCTGACGTGGCTTGTGTCCCGTGTTTTTGTTGAGGGGCCCTTGGGGCCGTGACGGTCTGCAATCATGAGGGGGCCTGTGACCCCTGTCACTAGGCAGGCCTCCATTGGCCTGGAGTTCTCTGGGGTTGCTTCCTACCACGCTGTGGAGGTGGTAATGATTGATATGCTACGTGTCCCAGTGGAGTCTGTATGTGGTGTGCAGCTGCTTGCCGGACGGCGGCCGATAGTCAAGTTCAACTCCCCGGCGATTTATCAAGGTCTCGTCAAGCGCTATGATGGGCGCTCCTTCGATCTTCCTGGAGATGGTGGGTCGGTAACCCTCTCCGACCGTTGTGGAGCCACGACGTATGTGACAGTGCATGGGATGCCTTTTGAGTTCCCTGAGGATCCCCTACGTCGGTACTTTGCCCGGTTTGGGCGGGTCCTACATGTGCGGATGAATGCTGTCCCTACCGGGAGATGGAAGGGGGTCCTGTGTGGGACCCGCACTCTCGCCATGCGCCTCCGGGATCCTGTGCCGTCCTCCATCATGCTGTTGGGGTTCCCGATTCGTGTTTTTTACGCAGGACAACCTCAGACTTGTTTCCGGTGCGGCCTACCGGGTCACCTGGCCGCGGGGTGTGAGGAGCGCCGGGTCACCCCTATTAACCTCTTCCAAGAGGAGGATTTTCCCCCCGCTGTCGGTCCCGGGCCTGTCTTAACATGATGGACCGTGTGTTGATTCCCTGCTGGTTTCTGCCCCGGTGTTGGATGGTGGTGTGGATGTTGACGTGGGGGGTTGGAGCGGCCCCGCCCCCGCCAATGGCTTCCCCGCCTCCGACGTCCCTGCCCCTGTCGCCTCAGCACCGCCCCGTCTCGGCCGCCCATGCCTGCTCCGTCCCTGCATGCGGCGTCTCCTGTCCCTTTGGATGTTCGCGGCGAGGAGTCACCTGCTGTGTGTGGTCCGGTGCCCCCGGCCGAGGAGGCTGCGGTTCTCAGGGGCCGGGCCTTGAAGGCGCGTCCGTCGGAGTGTTCTGCTGCGTTACGGGATGATGGGGGGGGGTGATAGCTCGGATGACCGGCAGCCCGTCTCCAAGCGCTCGAGGCGGGTCCCGAGTGTCTCCCCTTTGTGGGGTGCCTTGGGTGGAGGTGGAAGAGTACGTTGATCCGGCATCTCCTGCCGAGGTTGGCGGTGCTGTGAGGGGGCTCTGTGCTGCCTCCGGAGTCGCCCCCAATGCCTACTGCTGATGACTCCCCACAATGGGAGGTTACTCCTGCCGAACGGGACCTCGTCGTGATCTTACGGAAGGATTTGCGCCAAGGTGCCTCTGCTCCTATGCTCAGTGGCGGGGGCCCCGACTTGTCTGTGTCCTCTGCGGGTTCCCCTAGTGTGCAGCCCCGTGTGAAGCCTCGTGAGAAGCCTCGTGCGCCGGCCGGTACAAAACCCTGTGCGGCGCCCGGAGCACCTCCCAGTGCCGATTCCAGTGCGGACCCATCGAGTGTGAACCCCTTCCCTGTGCTCGCGGCCGACAGGGGCGTGGTTATACAGTCACGGGTTTTGGACCTCGTTTGGGACGACAGGGTGCGTGAGGGCCCGTGGTGCTCGTCGACTATTTGGGTACCGAGGTTAAAGGGGTTTATTTTTGGGGTGCCTGATTGGATGCCTCGGCCTTGTGCGTCTCCTGGTAGACCAGTGTCCGAAGACGTCCAGCTGGTCTGGGAGGCGTACTGCTTGCGCTTCCCAGCACAGGAGTTTCCGGACAAGTATCGATAGTGCCTGTGTTTGCTTGTATACTCCATGTCTGTGATTTTGTTACCGTGTCTGCGGTTCTATGTCTGTTTTGTCTCCGTGTTCGGTTTCGCCCTGTTGGGCTGTGTGCTTATGTGTGTGTGTTCCGGGTGCATTTTTTTTTTTTTTGGGGGGGGGTTGGGATGGGTGCTGTGTGTGTTTTTGTGTTCTATTGCTTGTGTTGTCTTATAGGGGTGGGGGTGCGGTGTGTGTGTGTGTGCGCGCGCGACGTGTGTGTGTGGGTGTGGGTGAGGGCGTGCGTGTGTGGCTGTGTGCGTGTGTGTGTGTGTGTGTGTGTGTTGTGTGTGTGCGTGTGTGTGTGGTGTGTGTGTGTGTGTGCGTGTGTGTGTGTGCGTGTGTGTGTGTGTGTGTGGGTGTGTGTGTGTGTGTGTGTGTGTGTGTGTGTGTGTGTGTGTGTGTGTGTGTGTGTGTGTGTGTGTGTGTGTGTGTGTGTGTGTGTGTGTGTGTTTGCCGGTTCCTGCGTGTTCCGGTTATGACTTCCTGTCTGTCTTGGCTTTTAGTACTGATTGTGTAGCCCTTCAGGCTGGCTTGTGTTACTAGATTTGTATTTATTTTGTACCATATCGTTCTGTGTCTTTTTCATGTTTCCTGTTGTATGCTTATTTGTTTTTCTGTTATATGATGCCTTTCTCTGTTGTTCTCATGTTTGTTTGTGCTTTATGGATCACTGCTTGAACTGTTTAGCCTAACTGTTTTTATGTGTATTTAATGTACTTTATCAATAGAAAGACAAAAAAATTGTGGTTGTTTGAATTACTGGCCAAGATTAACTCATCCAAACATAACAAGAGGCAAAAAGCATACCTATCTAATACAACATGTGAGGGATTCATCACTGATGAATCCCTCGTTATCAGTCACGTGAAGAAATACAAGTACTTCAAGGAGTGCCGGACCAACCGGGCTGTGGTGGGTATGTGGGCTTACGGGCTGCTTCAAGCAACAGCCTGGTGGACCAAACTCTCACAAGTCAAGCCTGGCCCCGGGCCGGGCTTGGGAAGTAGAAGAACTCCCAGAACCCCATCAACCAGGTATCAACCAACCAGGTAAGTATTATTCTGCTTCACTGGTTTCTCCTCCAGATGGATGTAATGTGAACCAGCTGGCTTTGACTGTGTGCCATATGTTGTGCCGTCTGAACCAGCTGAAAGATTTATGATGTTTTTTTTTCGATATAGAAGGTCAAAGAGGAGAACAACTCACTCAAAGTTGAATTGAATGTTTCCATGAAAATGACATTGATATAAAAAACCAGCCAATTCTCAGAGTAAATCCACTAGAACGAGAAATCCCATCTTTTAATTCACGGAATGCCTGTGCACACATTTTTTTTCTGCCTCCTAGTTATCAGCGAGATCTCGGCCATTCTGCTGCATTATCTAATAGTCGTGGTGCTCATTTGACCAGTGTGAAACTATTGTCCCGATTCCAGGTGTCCTATCAGCTGGTACAGACGCAACAACAAGCATTTATACACAACTTTTCTGCAATAAAACAACTCTTGAATGACGTTTAAAATAACAATGACCAGAAGGCCGAGAAGTCAACAACAGGGCTCGTCCACTACGTACTTTCATCCATGACGAAGCTGGAGGCAGGAATAGTGGTCATACTGTGGGTTCAAGTATTGTCAGCGTGGTCAAATGACCATCAATGAGTTCTTCTCGAGACTGGAAGCCCAACCATTTGGGCTGGACGGTAGAGCGACAGTCTCGCTTCATGCAGGTCGGCGTTCAATCCCAAACCGTCCAAGTGGTTGGACACTATTCCTTCCTCCCGTTCCATCCCAAATCCTTATCCTGGCCCATTCCCAGTGCTATATAGTCGTAATGGCTTGTCGCTGTCTTCTGATAGTCCCTCCCCTCGAAACTGGAACTCATCTTGCGCACTCTGTGAATCCTGGAGTGAATATATTCAAGCTGTGCGGTCCATTTTGTGTTTTTAAAGACACTGAGAAAAATGCCAAGGAGTTCAAGTTCAAGTATGTTTATTGAGATAAGAAAGAAATACATCTCAAAGGGATAGAGTAGCTTAGGCTACTTCTACCCCCCTCAAAAACGCCAAGGATCTGAGTGAGTGTGAAGATTATCAACAACAAACTCATAGAGGACACAAGTGAGATCACATGTATGATGAGTTCAGTAGTTCCAACACGCTTGATTCACCAATTGTTGAATCTCAAACACCTTTTCCCCCCACTATTGATAGCTTGTTTTTTACGCTGTCAAAACGCCAGGAAGCTTATTAAAAAGGGAAGAATAGTGTATTTGGGTCCCTTCATGAGTTATAGCCGTTTACACCCGAAGAGACTTTAAAGCAGCCATCAAGTCTTATCAACTCAAGATAAGATAAGATATCAACTCATATCCGGAAGATCTCAAAAAAAGTCTTGGCGAAATAAGAAAGCCTTGGTGAAGGAAGAAAGTCTTGACGAAGGAAGAAAGTCTTGGTGAAGGAAGAAAGTCTTGGCGAAGGAAGAAAATCTTGGTGAAGGAAGAAAGTTCTGGTGAAGGATTTGTACAGTTTAGTGAACTGTTGAAACCTGATCCTGCTTCTCATATTGGCGCCAAAAACATGACCAAATATGCAGACGATGAGTCACAATAACGCTGCTGAAGCTACGATGACTATAAAGAGCCAATATATATATATATATATATATATATATATATATATATATATATATATATATATATATATATATATATATATATATATATCACATTATAATGATGTTTCCCTTAGTATTTACCTTAATTATGAGTCAGCTCTCCCAACCTCTGGTGGGTTCGTTCGTAGACGCTTTTACGAAACATTTTTAAACTTCTAACTTCCCTGCTAGCCTAAGAATCCCAGCTCTTATATTTGTCATTAAACATAACCAGTGTCCATTCTCATGCTTTCCTCCGTACTATATCCTTTCCCCTTTCTTAATTTTCATCTTATTCCTCTTTCTTCACATCATTCTGATCCTCCCGATCTCTTGCTCTAATTTACTTGTCTCTTGCCTCATATGCCTCTTCTATTCTTACTTCTCCTCTTCCTGCTTTTGGATTTTTTTTTAGTTCCTGAGTGTGTGTTTGTGCCCATCTTGAATGAGAATTAGCGTGTACAAATATATATGAGTACAAATGTGTGTCAGAATAACAATGTTATTGAGTATCAGTGTGCAAGAGTGCCTGCAGTGTGCAGGAGTGCTTGCAGTGTGCAGGAGTGCTTGCAGAGTGCAGGAGTCCTTGCAGAGTGCAGGAGTGCTTGCAGTGTGCAGGAGTGCCTGCAGTGTGCAGGAGTACTTGCAGTGTGCAGGAGTGCCTGCAGAGTGCAGGAGTGCCTGCAGTGTGCAGGAGTGCTTGCAGAGTGCAGGAGTGCTTGCAGAGTGCAGGAGTGGTGGGATGCAACAAGTCCATTAAGGGATTACCGACTGATGGCCAGATATTGTTTTTGACTTCCTGTTTTGAAGAGACGAACACACACTCAAGAATATTTAGTGTTCTTCTTGCCATGTGACCAAAATTATGTATGAAAAAGTCTAAATATGACCGTATGAATATCAAGGTGCGTGAGTACAAGGGATACATGATGACAAACGTCAGTTATACATTCCTGTGTGTTTATTGATGCTATGGTTACAAAAAAGCGAGTTCAACCAGCGCTGTACACAATCCAGTCATTTATACATTTATACATTTGCTAAATTCACCTCTTGCGCTATGCAAGTGATTTCCAATAACCGCGCGTGTATCTGTTTTTATTAAAAAATATGATCTTTTACGCTCTTTATCCCATTTACTTTCATTATTTAAGCTATAGGGTGCATTGCATTTCAAACCCGAGTAAGGCAAAATAATGTAGTGGTATCAAATGTGAGAATTTGGCAATTATCGTACCCATGCAGCAATTACACGAAAAGACATACCAATAGTTTTTTTTTCGCTTGGTTTACACACGGACGAAAAATGTAAACCCGGTGCATCGGTCTACAGGCCACAGGATATCTAGATAACAGATGCAACGATGAGCAATTTAAATGGTGTTGTGCAAGTCGCTTCGTTCACCAGCCAAATGTTTCTGTCGTATTGTATCAAAGTGTCGAACCCTGTTTTAGTGCGGTTAGGAAGAGTTAGGCTTCGTTTGTTTTGGTTTGGCGTGACCTGTAGACCGATTCAAGGGTGGTATCCTCATCCCAGTTGCTGTCATCAACCTTTTTATGACAGTTTCTGAAAACAATGATAACGAAGTCGCTACTGTTATGATAACACTTGCTGCCGTTATCGTAACGTTTATTAATCGTATACTCAAAGCTACATTCAGGATTTTTTTTTATATAGGTTTGAAATTTAGAATAAAAAAGTAGATAATAATGGTTTTACGATATTTTGTGATACTTGATATACAAATTTTGTAGATAATATTTGTTTATGATTTCATGTGAAGTGAGAATGTCTAGGTAGGTAATCATGGTTCCAATTTTTTTTTATCATGATTCTTACAGCAACTAATGTAAATTAGATTTTTCCACTGTTGCCCATAAAATTTTTTTTTGCATTTGCATACAAGAGGGGAATTTGCTTTCCAATTGGTTTACAATTATGCAGTTTATGAAATTTCCAGGTATTCTGTAATTGCCCGGTTGACTTAAATGTTTTGAAAGAATAAAGAAATTTATGATTTTTTTTGTTAGAGGAAATCGATTAAAATGTAAATTAATCACTTAAACCTATAAATGAAGTAATTCTATATTATTTCCTATTTAATTAAGCTTCAAGACAGATAAATCAATATTCATGAAATGATCAGGGTTAGACAATGAGATTTAGAGATTTGACTTGAACGCATCTGTACAAATGTTATTGTAAGTAAATACTTCTTTTTACATCTATGGTACATATCTGTACAGTAATGGGTGGTGGGTAAGCTTGGGTTCAGCTCTTGTTATCAAGCTGTGGGCGACCAGGAGCCAGAGAACTGAAGGGGCGGGGAGAGTGGGGATGCCGACTTGCCACAGTACTTCGCTGTGTCGTCGCCTTCGTCAGCGTCAAACCAAGAGAGGTCAGCTGTGGCGTTCATCATGCTATGTCCTCGGGCTAGGAGTGGGCTGGCTCATTCTTAGCGGTGATATTGAGGTCCTGTGATGTTTTCAGCTCATCGTAAGAGAGGCACGGATGTGGGTGAGGGCTGTGGGAAAACAGGCTGAGAGACAGGGATGGAAAAGTCAACTGGGGTTTTGCGACGGCTGATGGCGGCTGCTGAAGAGAAAACGAAAGCTGTCGAGGTTGGTATGGTTGGGATTCTCTGATGAGTTGGGATGGATGTTGGAGTGGAATGGTTGTTGCTGGGAGTTTAAAATGGTTGTTGTTTGGGACAAAAAGGGTTGCTGTTGAGATTGGATCGCGCATTGGAGTTGAATGGACTGAAGCAGCTATCGAAGTTGAAAGGATTGGATTTGCCTCGCTAGACGAGAGGGAAACAACATGAAGCTGAAGGGGGACAGGGGGACATTGGGGGCGGTGAAGGAAGCAGTGCCTCTGGGGGAGCGCACCTGGTAGGGGCTGTCAACAGGGACGACTCCGATCTCGTTATTGAGTTCATAGAAGGACTGGGCTGTGGAGCAGTCGACCATCTTCCACCAGCTGCAGGTGAAGTACTCCTGGTTGAAGATGGTGCCGTTGGGGCACAGCATCTTGGTGTCCTGGTCGAAGAGACAGATGTGGAACGCCTGGCAGCGGGTCTCAGGGTCAGCGTAGTAGCCTGCCGGGAGATGAGACGCGTCAGGGAGGCAAAACAGGTGCAGCAAAATAAACCGAATTTTCCGTTAGTACATCGTTTTCCATTCAGTTATCATGTTATCCGTCTTAAAAGGCTCGAAATGTTATTTCAAAGCAAAGAGTACTGCAAAGGTTAGTTTTTCAGAGGAATGTGCAGCCATAGCAATATCAAAATCAAGCCAACAAATTCAAGGATGTCTGAGAGACTGTAAGCCATTCACAAATATTGTTAATTAGATTTGATTAAGAAAATGATAATTCACCATAATTTATTTATGAGATGTTGAGTTTAGTGATGGGAAAGACAGTCGCGGGATGGTCACTTCCATACCTAATATTTTACAATGATTAGACTGTCTTAGATTGAGTTATATATAAACGGAATATTTAGTAAAGCGGACATTTAGTGACTGAATATTGTAAATTCTAATCTATTTTGTCATCGTGTTAAGAGTTGAAGATTTTGGATGTTGAAATAGAATAATTAGTTGCAGGCGATGAGTCACAATAACGTGGCTGAAGTATGTTGACCAGACCACACACTAGAAGTTGAAGGGACGACCACGTTTCGGTCCGTCCTGGACCATGGTCAACAGAATAATTAGTTGTTTACTTTGCCTTTTGGCCTAGAGATTATCCTATTGGAACAATTAGGTGTTGTTACTTGGGGAAGTTAGTTGGTGAGGAAGGCGCACAACTCTGGCAGTATGTGTGGTGCCCAATGGTGCCCCTAGTGTCACCTGATCAGTGCCAGTCTATCCTAAGTGTTCGTCCTGGTGCCGAGGCTCTTGTCTGGTGTACAGTACCACGTGTATTAGTGTCTATGAACTCTTAAGAAGGGCCATAGTCATTGTTAACAAAAATTAACGTTACTGCTGTTCAGGAAAAGCCGAGTTGAGCATTACGAAGCGTGTTGGTGGCTCTGAACACGACAATTAAGTATTACCAAGAGTGCTGGTGGCTCACAGCACGATATGCGACAGATTTATTTATTTATTTATTATTTATTTATATATATATGTATACAAGAAGGTACATTGGGATTGTGAGGATACATAGCATAGTAATTACATTTTTGTAAAGCCACTAGTATGCGCAGCATTTCGGGCAGGTCCTTAATCTAAGAAACTTATAAGTAGGTAAATACTTGCAAAATTTATAAAAATGTTAACAGATACATAGCATGAAAAAAAATAAAAGATGAGAGAAAAATTGTAGGTATATTAAAGCACATAGGTAGCTCAGAATGATTGCAATGACAGCTTGAATGGTAGTTTAACAAAACTTAGCAGGGACAATACAGCATATGGCTAGCCACATAAAAGAAGACAGCAATGAACACAATGATAAAGTTGTTTGGATTAAGTACATAAAGATGTAAATGTTGATATAGAATATATATATATAAACTGGAAGGCCTTTTCCAGGTAATTAAGAATAGTAAGACTGGACACAGGATCTTTCTAAGGATGATCGTAATTCAGGGAAATAACAGAGCAACAAACAACGGGTCAATTTAGCAATAGATGAGACTCGGATCAAGAGAGAAGGAGCGTCCGAATCACTTACCGTCAGGTCGGCCGGCGCAGGAGAAGTCGGTGTCAACAATGGGCCAGCCGAGGATTGGGTAGTCCACGCCTGGCTCTCCTGGCACCGACTCCCTCAGCCACTCCAGGGGGTCGCTGCTGTGGTGGTGGTGGTGATGGTGGTCGTGGTCGTGGGGTTCGTGGTGATCGTGGGGAGGCATCGTTGTTACCCGGACTGGAGGTCGGGTTACTGACGGGGTTGTGGGTGGAGGAGAAGGCTGCCGTGGGGGTCCAGGTGGAGGTTGAGTTGGGGGACAAATCATAGGAGGGCCACAAACTGGGGTTATGGTGGGGGGCCGCGTTGGAGGTCGAGGAGGGGACAGGATTGGGGGTCTAGGTGGAGGTTGAGTTGGGGGACAAATCATAGGAGGGCCACAAACTGGGGTTATGGTGGGGCGCCGAGTCGTAGATCGAGGAGGGGGCAGGATTGGGGGTCCAGGGGGAGGTTTAATAGGGGGACAAATCATAGGAGGGCCACAAACTGGTGTTATGGTGGGGCGCCGCGTTGGAGGGCGAGTGGTAGTAGTTCGCTCGGGAGTTACCGGAGGGACTGGAAACGATGGAGGCGGGAGAGGAAACGTCAGTGGAGACTCCTGTAAGGAAACAACAAGCCATGAAGCTCACCAACCGCACGCGCCACACAAACAATTGAATAACTCGCTAATACAACACATCAGAGCGCGGTGATGGGGCTGTGTACTCACGTCCGCTGGAGGTCTGGTTGGTGGACGTGTTGTGGGTGCTGGTGGACGTGGTGTGGGGGCTGGTGGACGTGGTGTGGGTGCTGGTGGACGTGGTGTGGGGGCTGGTCGACGAGTGGTCGGCAGGTGGGCCAAGTCGCTACCAGGCTGGGAAGCACTGTGGTCGAACTCAGTGTCCGGAGGCAGGTAGCTGTAAATCCCGCTCTGAGCCCAGCTAACCCCGACGCATCCTGTACAACGGCAGCCAATGAGTGACGGCATATTAGGGTGAGATCAGGTCCAGTTAGGTTAAACTAGGTTAAGTTAAGTCAGGTTAGGTTAGGAACCAATAGTCAAAGGTAGGTCAGGTTTTGTTAGCCAAGGTCAGGTTAATTTGGGCCAGATTAGATCATATTAAGTCAGATTAAGGTAGATCATATTAAGTCAGATGTTAGGTTTATTTAGGTCAGATCTAGTCAGGTTAAATTAGTTGTGCAAGGTAAGGTAATTACGAGAGAATGTTCAATCATTATGATAACATAACACCAGGTAAGGTTCAAGTAAGTTCACTGAGACTGGAAAATGCATGAAAATAAAAATGCAATGAAAATTACAATTAATCCATTTAAGGATTGCTCAAATTTCCTATATGAATAACGAAATGTATTCAAATCGTGATCTCTCCTTATGTTTTGTATAAGTTATTCTATTCTTTGGTCAAGGTATTTACTAGTTGAAATACATTGAATGCATTGCAAGCTATAAAGGGATTTTGTACACGTTTCAATCATAATGAGAATGCGTAATAAATTTTGCATATAAAGATTCGTAAACGGCGCATTAAACAAAAGCACAGACGAGACAACAGATGACCTTCTGACCAATGCGAGGCAGCTCCAGTATACGCCAATCCAAACCCATTGACACCAGGACAATGTGAATAGTTCCTCGTAACAGTACCTGTGTTGACCAGGATGATCCTCATTCTGGAGAAGTCAACATTTCTTATGCTTTTGCTTGGAAGGCCTCAAATGGTATGCTTACAACGCGAGCCTTCAAACACCACCCGTTCAATGCCAGGATGTCTTGCTGGCCCTCCCCCCGGCCCACCGCCCGAGTGCAGGGAGTAATTCTTCATTTGTTGATCCTTATCTTCATATCTTGATCCTTATCTTCATATCTTAGAGTCCTCTTCCAACACGAGCCTCGCTTGTCACCACCACCTGGAGGGCACGGTGGAGGAAGGTGGAGGCGAGTGATGGAGGATGGAGTTGGAGGTGAAGATCCACGGGACGAGGCTAGCGACGCTCGCTACATATGATAATGCTGCGGAGATGACGACAATGTGTGTGTGTGGGGGCCGAAGATAATGTTCCTTTGCCTCTTGATGTCTTTATCAACCTCGTCACGAGTGTCGGGTCACCAACGGGAAGAACCTGATTAGTCATTCCCTCTAGAGTCTCTCTCTTTCTCTCTTTCTCTTGAATCTTTTACTTTCCACCAAGATATTTTGGAAACATAATTATTTTGGGAAGACGTTTTATCCAGCGGGTTGTCCGGGTGCTTGCGTTGATCTGAGCACCTAAATCTGCGTTCAATCCCCGACCGTCCCAGTGGTTGGGCACCATTCCTTCCCACCCTCCCCTCCCGTCCCATCCCAAATCCTTATCCCGACTCCTTCCCAGTGCTACAATAATCGAAATGGCTTGGCACTTTATCCTGATAATTACCTTACTTTGCGTCATGGGAGAAGACACCGACCCATCTAAGACCGCCCTTTCCTCTGCAACATACATTCTTACTTTCAAGATAGCATAAATTCAAGGAAGTACTAGTGTCACTCTAAGAGCTGACTGCAATTTAATGGGGAAAAATGGGGCCGACCCCCAACCCGCCCATGTTGGTCATCTACCCTTCATTAATCACTTCACAAAGTTGGGTGAGGCTAGCCCCAAGTGCCTGGCCTCCCGCCTTGAGCAGACAAACTGGCATTCTGTCATATATATACACTGGATAGGGTACCCAGCAGTGCCGGGGTCTCTCTCTCTCTCTCTCTCTCTCTCTCTCTCTCTCTCTCTCTCTCTCTCTCTCTCTCTCTCTCTCTCTCTCTCTCTCTCTCTCTCTCTCTCTCTCTCTCTCTCTCTCTCTCTCTCTCTCTCTCTCTCTCTCTCTCTCTCTCTCTCTCTCTCTCTCTCTCTCTCTCTCTCTCTCTCTCTCTCTCTCTCTCTCTCTCTCTCTCTCTCTCTCTCTCACACACTTCCCCTACTCCTTCTCTCTCTTTCTATCTTTCTCTTTCTCTCTCTCTGTCTCTGGCTCCTCTCTCTCTCTCTCTCTCAGAGCATGGAATATTATTATCCCAGCAAACACTCGTTATGTTTACAATTGTTACTTTGGTGTAACGTTTGAACAACGTAATATCATTAATATGTAAAAAAAAAAAATTGTGGTCAATATTGTAGGTTTGATATTTTATGAACAGCTGAAAAAGTCTCTGGAAAATCAAACCACCATTTCAGACTTCATATTAATCACCGTGAGTCACAACAGAAGGTCATCCTTCTTAAAGGGGGGGCAAATGGGGGGCGACCCTGACTTGTCAGTTACAGTTACCTGCCATCCACTTGTCATCCTGAAAGGTTGAGTGAGGCTAGCCCCAAATATCTGGCCTCTAGCCTTAGACAAACCGACAGAGAGACATTCTCATAATATATATTAAACACTTGCACCATGTTGTGTAAATCACTGTATGTTTCTATACCAAAGCTCTTATCTTCATTCTGAAAAAAAACATGACTGAGAGGATATAATTAACGTTATTAATTTTCTCGAACAGTACTTCATTCATTTCCTATGTTTCGAGTAAACTTACCTGAATAATTCGCCATATACTGTATATACAAATAATAATAATAATAAAATCCTAAACACGTAATCAAACATATCTTAGGTCTAGCCCTACACAATAATAAAATATATAATAGCATTGGTTTATGTTTGAATACTATTTTTGACTTAAGATTAAGTACCAAGTTAAGAAAGCGTCGTTGAGAATAGCCTCAGATTGGACGAGCATTACCTGAGGGAGGATTACTCTATCTATAGCAATCTACTGCTCTAAGCTCTATCTATAAATCCATCAATGTTTTGTATCTCACCTTGTATGTGTGTATTTTACCTGAATAAATATTTGATTTGATTTAATTTGATTTTGATTCTCTTGATCACCGAATACTTAAATTCAGTGAGGTTTAGTCACAAGATTTGAGTGTGGTCATTGTATTAACCTCACTCCAGTATCACACATAAACCAGATAACATCAGTAGCATATGGAAAAAAAACAGCTGCTATAAGAATAATTTTCTGAAACCTTAAGAAAAATCTTCTATATTGCTATACACTTTAATTCAAAGTATACCCGTAAGCTATGTAAATAAGAGACCTCGTTCACCTTCACTCACACTAAGACAACAGAACGAAATAAAACACAGTGAACGAATTCTTTCTCAGGTCATTTTAAGATTTGTAGTCAAAAGTTTCTCTAAGACGAGAGTGTATTCTTCAACAATTTCTTCGTAAAACTTAAATATATGTTCCATATTTTGTTATTATTATTATTATTATTTCTAAATTATATACACAAAAGTTCTTACATTCTTGTACAGCCACCAGCACGTATAGCTATTCGGGCAGGTCCTTAATCCTAATTTTTCCCTGGAATACGACCCGCAAAATCGTTTAACAATCAGATACCCATTCACTGCTGGGTGAACAGGGGCTACACTTAAGGCCAGTCAATCCTCCCCGGCCAGGATACGAACCTAGGCCAAAGCGCTCGCGAAGCGCCTGGCGAGTGTTTACCACTGCGCCACCATGTCTGCCGTGGACTGGAGAAAGCGAGCAGCAGAAAGTTGCGTGAAGAAAATAGAATCGTAGTGAAGATGAAAAACAAATGTATATTTTTTTTACGCCAGTACAGTTGTTCAGAATTACAACTTTTGTATACATTTGGTTCGAATAAAGCTTCAGAATCAGATTATATAGTCTACCGAATCTACAGAACCGAAATATTTTAATCACTCAGCAGAATTAAGGCTGAGCGGTTCACTCAGCCTCAGATGTATAGGGAAATGCGTTTTCATTATGCGAATAATGAGATGTGGAATAAACAAGGCGAAAATGTAGTTGAGTAAAATATGGTCGAGGGCTTACAAAGCAATGCCCAGAAGTTATAACAACCTTTTGAGTAAAATTGCACCAGATACTCAGTTCATGACGACGCGGGCCAAGAAATCTTCCTTCCTGTCCATAAGTACTGTTAACTAAGCTGTTACACAAGTCCTGTTATTGAGATGTAAGGGGAATACGATCTGTGTTCATCTCCATATTCACGTATGTATTGAGAATGCTAAATTGTAATCAGTGAGAGGAACACAGCGAGTGAGATAAGGCGAGGGCGTCGTGGACCAGGCGGCCGGTCAGGGGTGTCGACCCACTGACCACGATTCACTCTCGCTTTCCGCGGTATTTAATTCTCTCGTAACTGTTCCGTGACGGATCTGCGCGCGAACAACTTTCCGGGTTCCACCAACTTTCGTCTCGGGGAGAGTCCAAGCTCCTGGACCCCGGCACCACCGACGACACACACACACAGTTCAAGTTTCCACAGCTGCTCTCAACTTACCCAACACCAACACCAGCTTCGCTAACGGCAGCAGCATCGCCCCTGCTCCCTACAAAGGCTCACACTCGACAACTTCACTCGGAGATGACACAGTAATTCGCAAGCTTATATAGTCACCTTGGCGGAAGCCTTCGGCCACTGTTGCGCAGGTGGACGTCCCCAGACACGGAGCGACGTCGCTGATTGGTCATCTTCTTACGCTAAATCAAGTTCCTTTTCACTGGCCAGCGCGCCATTCCGCACGAACCTGTAGCAAACTCCGATCACATATTAGTATATTAGAAAATCATTACGCTTTAACAATAATATGTTCACAAAACGTCAGCCAACTTTTCATAACTCAAAATTTGTTGAAACTTAAATGGAGAACAACAAGAGGTGAAATAAGAAGCATTGTACATCGGTGTTGCAGAGTACAGCGTTTGGTAAACAACTATTTTCGTGTAGAGAGTGAAGATGCTCCCTGCTCGGCCTTGGGCCCGGTTGGGGGTCCACAGCTTCCCACACCCTCCTGCTGGTCACGCAAAGCTTTGAAACACCTCTGAAGCTTTTCGGGAAACTGTCCGTCGCTTTAAGCAACCAATGGGCGACCAGCTTGAAAAAAAATTGATATTTAATATATTTTTTCATTTCTCGGGAAGATGATGATGATGTAAGAGTCTGTGAGAGGCGTGACTCCAAGACACTCACAGGTGGTAGACAAGTTACTGCATGAGACTCTGTGGCTGTGTTACACATTGTTGGGCGCCCACACCTACCCCACCCCCACACCTGCGCCACCACCCACAGCCCACACCTGCCCCACCAGCCCCACCTGCCCCACACCCCCCCGGCCACCCACACCAGCCCCCACCACCCACACCAGCCCCCCACCACACCACACCTGCCCCACCACCCACATAACCCACACCTGCCTCACCCCCACACCAGCCCCACCACCCCACCACACCACCCACACCACCCCCCACCACCCACCACCAGCCCCACCACCCACACCAGCCCCCCACCACCCACACCACCCCCCCACCACCCCACCACCACACCCCCCCCCCCACCCACACCAGCCCCCACCACCCACACCAGCCCTACCACCCACACCAGCAACCCACACCAGCCCCCACCACCCACACCAGCCCCACCACCCACACCAGCCCCACCACCCACACCAGCTCGGCCACCCACACCAGCCCCACCACCCACACCAGCCCCCACCACCCACACCAGCCCCCACCCCCACACCAGCCCCACCACCCACACCAACCCCACCACCCACACCAGCATCACCACCCACACCACCCACACCAGCCCAGCCACCCACACCAGCCCCACCACCCACACCAGCCCCACCACCCACACCACCCCCACCACCACCCACACCCCCCACCACCCACAACAGCCCCACCACCCACACCAGCCCCACCACACATACCAGCCCTACCCCCACACCTGCCCCACCACCCACACCAGCCCCACCACCCACACCTGCCCCACCACCCACACCATCCCCCCACCCCCCACACCAGCCCACTACCCACACAGCCCCACCACCCACACCAGCCCCATCACCCACACCAGCCCCCCCACCCACACCAGCCCCCACCACCTACACCAGCCCCCACCACCCACACCAGCCCCCACCACCCACACCACCCCCACCAGCCACACCAGCCCCACCACCCACACCACCCACACTAGCCCCACCACCCACACCAGCCCCACCACACATACCAGCCCTACCCCCCACACCAGCCCCCACCACCCACACCAGCACCACCACCCACACCAGCCCCACCACCCACACCATCCCCCTACCCCCCCCCCACACCAGCCCGAGGTCGTATTCAGAAGCCACCAGTATATTGCCACCTGATGGCACGATTAAATCATTATTATCAAAATGTAAAAAATGTGATGACTATGCATTCATGATTACGTTGAAGTCTTCGTGCAACATAACCACACCTGAAGATATCAACACATAAACAATACGGCCAACAATATAAACAATTATCAAAGTGTTTTGTAAATACTGCAGTTTTATTGCCAGTGTATGAGTTCGTGTGCATTAAATTAGTGTGTGTGTGTGTGTGTGTGTGTGTGTGTGTGTGTGTGTGTGTGTGTGTGTGTGTGTGTGTGTGTGTGTGTGTGTGTGTGTGTGTGTGTGTGTGTGTGTGTGTGTGTGTGTGTGTGTGTAGCCTACCAGCGGGTTGTTTACGTTAAGGGCCGCGACAGCACAACTGGTATTGGTTAGGGACAAGTTCTTGTGTTGGGTAAAATACAAAAGCCATGAGGCTATGTGCAACGTCGCGTTATGTCGGAAAACTGGCGTTCCTTGAGGGAGGTAAACACACTGTTGGGTACATGATTGGCGAGTCCATAAAGTCCTCTTTCCTCCCCTTCATTCCTGGAAGTCGATCATGGGAGTGTGTGTGTGGGGGGATATGGACCCCCCCCTCCACACACACACACACATAACCTGTAGGAAGACTCTTCCGCCACCCAGCGACCTCCAGATGACAAGGCGCGTCTTTTGACGCGCCTATATAGTCGAACTAAGACACTGCATAATGCCACAATCGCGATGAGGTCCTTTTTAAATTCGAGCCGAATTGGGGGACAACAGAAACACACAAAAAATGGTTTTCCAGTGACCTTCAGCAGATCAGGAGCCGGCCACTCACCATGTTCCATGGCTCAGAGGTGATGGGGAACGCGGCCAACCATTTCTGTCCTGCGCGGGATTCCCGACTGAGAGTCGAGAACGAACCCAACTGTACTACCGCGAGACTGTACGCGGCCCCCCAGGCGATCACGGTACCAGGCCTGGTACACCACTCCGGGCCCTTGAACTAGTATGCTTGTCGGCGTTATGGAGACCCAACGGTGAGACTCGGGTGTGGCACCGGCCCGCAAGTAGAGCAGGTGTGTGCCCCCCGTCTTCTGGTCGTCCAGCCTGCACCAGGTCGTCCAGCCTGCACCAGGTCGTCCAGCCTGCACCGGGTCGTCCAGCCTGCACCAGGTCGTCCAGCCTGCACCAGGTCGTCCAGCCTGCACCAGGTCGTCCAGCCTGCACCAGGTCGTCCAGCCTGCACCAGGTCGTCCAGCCTGCACCAGGTCGTCCAGCCTGCATCAGGTCGTCCAGTCTCTCAGTGTGGATAATAATCAGTTGAGTGTAAGGTTAACTTTATAAAAAATACCATTTAATGCTGGTATCTTTATTCTATGATTAGAGAAAGCAAGTACAGCAGTACATATTCATACAGTGACAACCGCCGATGTTCACGACACAGTCAAAGCCATACACTTAATACACCTAACTATACACTCGTGAAATATATACATGAGACGTCTTGTGCAATACATAAAACAGTTTCTTTCAATTTTTTCTGTTTAATTTTAACTTAACATATACTAGTAACTAGGCCTTACAGCATTTGAATAGGCTGATATACTGCAAATTATATACAGAAAAAAACGTGATCACTATTAATTTGGAACTACGTTACATGAAAGATGATGGTTTCATATTTTTTGACTAACTAAATATTTTATTTTTGAAGGCAATATAATTAGTTTATAATTAAATTTTAACCTGCAAATATATTGCTGGTTAAAATTAGCCAATAACTCCAAGTCAGTCAGACGTTACCTGCGCAAAACGTTTAATTTTTTTATACACATCAAAGTTTAATGCCAAATAAGCTCTTAAAAACACATATATGTTCGTGAGAATATACATTTTTGTACATATTTATAGTACATATCTGTACAGCAATGAGAGGTGAGTAGCCTCATTCAGAGCTCCTGTTACATGCTGGGGGTCTCCAGTAGCCGGGCCACAAGATCTCCATCGCCGCCTTCGTCAGTGTCATACCAGAGGGAAGCAGCCAGCGTCGTCCATCCAACACTGGCTTTAGGCTAGGAGCGTGCAGGTGCGCACGAAGTGAAAACCCGATGGTGTTTTCACTACCTGTGGGGGCCTAGGGATGCGGGGATGGCTTTCAGTGGTCTGGAAAGACTGAAAGGCAGGAATGGATAGGTTGGCTAGAGATTAAGAAGGGTAGTCCTGAAACAGCGGCTGCTGGAGAAGATATGAAAGCCGTGTTGAAGTTGACACGTCTTTTGAGGATAAAAAATTTGTAGGACTTGAAATGTCTCTTGTTTGGGAGCCGGAATAGTTAAGAGTTTGGGTTAGCATTCAAGTTGTTGAGCTAAGAATGATTGTTGTTAAGGTAATAGTGGTCGTTATAGGGGTTGGAATGTGTATTGGGGGTTGAATAGACTGAAGCAGCTATCGAGGTCGAAGGGATTGGATTGACTTCGCTTGACGAGAAGGAAACAGCATGAAGCTGAAGGGTGACAGGGGGACACTGGGGGCGGTGAAGGAATCGATGCCTCTGAGGGACCGCCCCTGGTAGGGGCTGTCAACTGGGACGACTCCGATCTCGTTGTTCAGTTCGTAGAAGGACCGGGCTGTGGAGCAGTCGACCATCTTCCACCAGCTGCAGGTGAAGTACTCCTGGTTGAAGATAGTGCCGTTGGGGCACAGCATCTTGGTGTCTTTGTCGAATAGACAGATGTGGAACACCTGGCAGCGGGCCTCAGGGTCAGCGTAGTAGCCTGCCGGGAGAACAAGTGCATATAAATTAAAATTGGATAGTAATATTATGGAGGAAAGTGATGGAGGTTGAAGAGTTGGAGACGGCAGTCATGGCGAAGTTTGTAGTAGTGGTGAAGGTTGTGGTTTGGGGGGGGGGGGGGGGTAGTTGTTCATGACCGTGGAATTACCTTCCTCGTAGACTGAATTAATCTTGCATTACATCATAGAAGTTTTCATATGAGTAAGTTTCGTTGAAGAGTAAGGAAATGGCTGATTGGAACACATAAACAACTTCGTTGTATACAGGAACATTAGTTCGGGCTCTCTGTGCCCCTTCCTTTCTATTATGTTTTCCGATATTTGAAGCGATGGAATTTTTATATTACAATTAGCTCAAATATGTAATATAGTTGAATACTCTCTACGGGTATGACTCTCACTCTGGAGGTCGCAATGTTTGCGTCACTTACCGTCAGGTCGGCCGGCGCA